ATAAGTAAATTTTATATACATAGATATATATACTCTTGTTGGTTCTGTTTCTCTGGAGAATTCTAACTAATACAGACAGGGAGAAAAAAAAAAAATTCTGCCTGCTTAAAAGTCTTTTTGTCCTGGCCTTGTCATGGTACCTGGGACTTATATTAGGTGTCTTACTTTTGGCTTGTAGCATTGAAAGTTCAAATGCAACCAAGGTCTTGGGTCAGGGGAGGAAGTGAAAATTGTCTCGTCATGGGCTTTCCTGGAACCCCATGAAGAAGGAGATGGGATCTGTGGAACTTTCTATTGCAGTATGCACAGGTGGCTCAGATGCCCACTGCTGGTATACCTTGTAGCTGTGTTTTTACCCCCTTTCCCCTCCATAGCAAAGTCTTTTTTGAAAGTTCTCACTATATGCACAGACAGAACAGCAAAGGAGGCCGGACACAGTGTCTCACACCTGTAATCCCAGTACTTTGGTAGGCCAAGGCAGGTGGATGACTTGAGCTCAGGAGATGGAGACCAGCCTGGGCAACATGGCGAAACTCCGTCTCTACCAAAAATACAAAAAAATATTAGCTGGGTGTGTGTGTGTTGGCGGGTACCTGTTATCCCAGCTATGTGGGATGCTGAGGTAGGAGGATTACTCGAGCCTGGGAAGTGGACTTGTAGTGAGCCGAGATCATGACATGGCACTCTAGCCTGGGTGACAAAGTGAGACTGTATCTCAAAAAAAAAAAAAAAAAAAAAGCAAAAACAGAAACAAAATGAAACAGCAAAGCGAAAGAAAAAAAACCTGAAGTTTCTCTATTTAGCTCTTATTTATTTATTTATTTATTTTAGAGACAGGGTCTTTCTCTGTCATTCAGGCTGGAGTGCAGTGCAGAGATCATAGCTCACTGCAGCCTCCAACTCCTGGGCTCAAGCAATCTTCCCTCCTCAGCCTCCTGAGTAACTAGGACTACAGGTGTGAGCCACCATGCCTGGCGGTGGCTCACGCCTGTAATCCTAGCACTTTGGGAGGCTGAGGTGGGCGGATCACAAGGTCAGGAGTTGGAGACCAGCCTGACCAACATGGTGAAACCCCGCCTCTACTAAAAATACAAAAATTAACTGGGTGTGGTGTTGCACGCCTGTAATCCCAGCTACTCAGGAGGCTGAGGCAGAATTGCTTGAACACGGGAGGCGGAGCTGAGATCTCACCACTGAACTCTAGCCTGAGCAACAGAGCGAGACTGTCTCCAAAAATATAAAAATAAAATAAAAATTTGGCTGGGTGTGGTGGCTCACGCTTGCAATCCCAGCACTTTGGGAGGACAAAGCTAAAGGATCGCTTGAGCCCAGGCATTTGAGAGCAGCCTGGGCAACATGGTGAAACCCCGTCTCTACTAAAAATACAAAAATTACCCGGGCGTGGTGGGTCATGCCTGTAATCCCAGCTACTCGGGAGGCTGAGGCAGGAGAATTGCTTGAACCTGGGAGGTGAAGGTCGCAGTGAGCCCAGATCGTGCCACTGCACTCTAGCCTGAGCGACAGAGGGAGACCTCTGTCTCAAAAAAAAAAAAAAAAAAAAGAAAAAATTTTTTTTTGTTTGTAAAGACAGGGGTCTCCCTCTGTCGCCCAGACTGATCTCAAACTCCTGGTCTCAAGTAATCTTCCCACCTTGGCCACCCAAAGCACTGGGATTACAGGTGTGAGCCACTGAGCCTAGCCTATTTATTTCTTTACAGTCTCCATATTTTTCTATGCATATACTAATCATATATTACAAATTATAACTATAGGGTCCTACTACACTTGTAATTCAGCAACTTACTCTCACTCTTTTCACTTAACAATGCCCAATAGAGACCTTTTATTGCCTAATCATACAAATCTATTCCTTTCCTTTTACTATATGGAGCCTCTTGAGGGCAGGGCTATTATTTAGCCCTACTTCCAGTCCAGAGTCCAGCATATGGGAGGTCTTGCTGGGAGGACGAGGACATATTCAAATAGTAACAGCAACCACGACATCCTGGCATGAACTAGGTGCCAAGCTCTGAACGCAGCTCTTTCAGATGTTTAACCCTCACAAGCACTGTGTGAGAAAGGTGGTATTATTATTCCCATTTTGCAGATGAGAAACTGAGGTGCAGAGACCTAAAAACCCAAGATTACATAACTAGTAAGTGGCAGAGCTGGGTTTTGAATCCTGATCTTTCCTGTGCCAAAGGTTTTGCTATGAATAAATGAATAAGTGGTTACTGGGATCATGGGTCCTGGGGAGAAAGTTTTTTCTTCGGAACCTCCCTGGTATGTCCTGGGTTCTTCCTTCCAAGGGTTTGTAGTACTTGGAATCGGCTTTAGCCCTTAGGAGCAACTCAGTAAAGGCCCTTCCTTTGCCTCCAGCAATCTTACGGCCATGCTTACTTTTCACAGGAAGTGGTGTTTTTGAATATTTTTTCTAAAAATAAGCTATAATTTATTAGGGGCCTTTGAGGACCAGGCCTGGCATTTCAGGACACCCATGTGCCTGCCTGCAGCATAGGAAATTAATCAGAACCCCAAAGTTCTTCCCCTCCTCCCACAGGCCAGTGCACTGGAAATGCCCAGTGCCTCATTGCAGCTCTCCTAGAGGACTGCAGAGATGCCAAGGGCAGTTTAACACAGATCCACATCTCTGTAAAGAAGGTGAGAGGAGAAAGGCACGAAGCAGAAATGGGTCAGCTGTGCTGCAAAGAACTCTCAGAGAGAACCCCACGCTGACCCCAGCTTGGAGGCATGCTGAATGACAGAGATGCCCTGGGGCATCAGATGTGACTGCAGAATCCATCTGGGGTCTGCAGGCTGCAGTGCTGGTCTCTGTTCCAATGGAAATGCTTTGCAGGGCCACTTTCAGCAAGCCTCTTCCTTTCTCAAAACTCTAAAGTCTTCCACGTGAAATGATTTAGTGGATTGTAATGAGGTGCTGTGTGGTGTTACGAACTAGAAATAACACCGATGATAGTAATTATATATATAAAATATATATAACATACAATAATTATATATATTTTTGAGACGGGGTCTCAATCTGTCACCCAGGCTGGAGTGCGGTGGCATTATCATGGCTCATTGCAACCTCCACCTCCCAGGTTCAAGGGATCCTCCCACCGCAGCCTCCTGAGTAGCTGAGACTGCATGGGCACCACCAGGCCTGGCTAATTTTTGTATTTTTTGTAAAGACGGGGTTTTGCCATGTTGTCCAGGCTGGTCTCAAACTCTTGGACTCAAGTGATCCACCCACCTGGACCCAAGTGATCCTCCCAAAGTGCTGGGATTGCAGGCATGAGCCACCGCGCCTGGTCAATATAATACTATTGAAAATAAGAACTACAGGGGCCGGGCGTGGTGGCTCACATCTGTAATCCCAGCACTTCAGGAGGCCGAGGTGAGTGGATCACCTGAGGTCAGGAGCTTGAGACCAGCATAGCCAACATGGTGAAACACCGTCTCTACTAAAAATACAAAAATGAGCCAGGTGTGGTGGCAAGTGCCGGTAATCCCAGCTAATTGGGAGGCTGAGGCAGGAGAATCTCTTGAACCTGGAAGGCGGGGGTTGCAGTGAAATGAGATCGCGCCACTGCACTCCAGCCTGGACGACAAGAGGGAAAATTCATCTCAAAAAAAAAAAAAAAAGAAAGAAAATAAGAATGACAATCATATTGATTGTGGAACACTGTGCCTGATGCTTTCCAGAAAGTATGTTAGGTAATTTTAAAACAAACACCACAAGACTACATTATTATCCCCATTTTACAGATGAGAAGATAGGCTCAGAGACAGCCAGTATGACCCCAGAACATATGATCCCAGGGTTTTCTGGCATCAGAGCTTCAGCTCCACAAACATGTGTGGGTTCTGACCTCCAGGGAGTGCTAAGAAACAAATGGGAGGCCAGTTCGTTATAAGTTGTAGTGTTCATGCCCACGTGAGGGTTAAACACAATGTTATTGGGTATTCAGAACAGGGAGGATTGCCTTCTGGCTGGGAGAAGCTGGGAGGTGAGACAGCAGGGGAAGAGCTTGAGCAAAGGGTCAAATGTGGGAAAGCAGTGGGTGTGCTAAGAGAAGTCTGGATAAACTTTGTGTGTGTGTGTGTGTGTGTGTGCGCGCGCGTGTGTGTAAAGGTAGGAAGTGATCATACCAGGCCAGGGCTTTGGCCTTTATTCCATAGGCAATAAAGAGCTTACACAAGCGATGTCTCAAGAGACCAACCATGCTGCTGTAGTCAGAGAGGAAGCAGCCCTCAGCCCATCTGTGCCCTGGCTTGTGAATGTTGCTGTGTGCCAGCGTGTGGGAGGGCATCGGCAGCGAGAGCAGTCTCTGGCTGTGTCCTGTACTCTGCTGGGTGTGGGTCTTGGGCTGTCTTCAAAGCCCTCCTCCTGACTTCTCAGGGCCCTAGGTGCTTTTTAGATAGTAGACTTAAAGGAAGTATGTCATAGAAGTATCGGAGGGGATTTTTAGATCGTCTGGTTATTCCCCCCTCCCATTTTAAAGAAGATGAAAGTCGGGAACATAGATGGGAAAGTACTTGTCTAGCGTCACACAACGAATGAAGAGCAGAGCGGGGAACTGGAACCCATGCCTCCTGAGTCTGTGCTGAGTTCCTTCTCTGCATTTGCGGAGTAATAGAAATAGCATTTGTTGAGTGATTATTCCGTATCAGGTTCTAGGCTAAGCACCTTTCCATTGATTATCTCATTTAATCCTCACAACCCTTCAGAGTGCCCCGCTTTTTTTTTTTTTCTTTTGAGACAGGGTCTCACTCTGTCACCCACGCTGGAGTGCAGTGGCACGATCACGGCTCACTGCAGCCTCTACCTCCCCGGGCTCAAGCGATCCTCCTACTTTAGCCTACAGGCGCGCGCCACCACGCCCGGCTAATTTTTGTATTTTTTTGTAGAGATGGGGTTTCGACATGTTGCCCAGGCTGGTCTCGAACTTCTGAGTTTAAGCTATCCGTCCGCCTCAGCCTCCCAAAATTCTGGGATTACAGACGTGAGCCACCACGCGGGCCGAAAGTGTCCCTCCTGAAATCGGGAAGTCTTGTCTTCCATTTCGATTTCCCAGGGCGCCTACCACAGGACCTAGCTAGGGAGGCAATAAAAACTTGGTGGAGCCTAAGTCCTGGGAAGAGAAAAAAAGGACGGAGGGGGCGGGGCCTGCAGACCAATCCCGCCCATCACAAAGACCCCGCCTTCCAGACCGCTGACGTCACCACTTGGCCCCGCCCATCATTGTCAGTCCCGCGGAGCCAGAGGCGGCGCCGGTCGCTGGGAGCTGAGCGCCGGAGCCCTCCGCGGGCGGTATCGCTGTCCGGGGCCGCCGAGGTGAGGGTCCGTGAGGCGGCGGCGGGAGCGCGGCGCGGGGGACCGGGCGGAGGGCGGCGGGGGTGGGGGGCCGGTCCCCGGTGAGGTCGGGGCACCCGCGGCCACGGGGCAGAAGAAACCGCGGGCGCAGCCGGGGAGGGATGGGGGTGTGGAGTTGGAGGAGAGTTGGAGTGGATTTTGGAGGAAGGGCTCAGGAGGAGACCTTTTGGGGCGAGACCCGGCACATGTTTGTGGAGTTGGAGGAAGAGACTCTGAGGAGATTTTTCCTCGGGAGGGGGAGGGAAGGTTCATGGGGAGACTTCTTGGTGGGAGCGAGACTCGGAGGAGAAATGTTTGGGGCAGAGACGCGGAGGAGACATTTTCGAGGGGGCGGCGAATAGTTTCGGGGGTCGGGTTTGGGGTTGGGGGAGGGGCGCGGTCCGGATTGGGTTGGGGGGCGGCGAGGCGGCCGGGAGGGGGCTGCGCGGGGCCCGGCGGGCACCGGAGGAAGGAAGTGATCAGACAGGAAGGGCCCGGGAGCTCCAGCAGGAGGAGGAGGAGGGCGGTTTGGGAGCCAGTCGGTCCGGCGTGCGGGGCCAGCTGCGGGCGCGGGGCGCGGGGCGCGGGGCGCGGGCCGGGCGGGGAGGGGTCCTGCGGCAGCCGCAGCTGTCGGCCGCGCCGGCCCACGTCCCGGGCGCTCTGCTGGTCTCGCAGCCAGACCGCTGGGCCGGGAAGGAATTCGAGGCATTCGCTTTGTTTAAGTTGCCAGTAGACAGTCCTTAGGACTAATTAATGGTGGAATCTGCAGGGGGACGCCGGCGAGCGGGGCCGGGGCCTCCCCCCGCCCGCCGCGGTGAACTTTCCGCAGCGCGGGGCCCGCCTCCCCGCGCACCCCCGGCCCCCGCCCAGCTGCCCGGGCGGGGAAGGAGCCATGGCTTCCCGGAGCGCAGGAATGAAGTGCGGTTTCTGGGGCCGGTGGCCTCTGGCTGCGGAGCCTGCCTGCAGGGAAGCCGGCGTCCCGGAGCGGCCGCGCTGGAGCTTCGGAGCCCCGTTTAGAGCTCTTGGAGGTGGCTGCGGTTTTGGTGCATAACCTTGGAGGAGCCTCTGCGATCCGAGAAAGACTATCTTGCTTTGGAGCATCTGTTTCTTCATCGCGTCAACCCCTTTCCTAACACTGCAGAGCTTGTTGTGGCTTGTTTCGGAAATGCCGAGGCCAGTGCTCACCCTTGCGGGTGGGAGAGGGGAAGAGAGTAGGCACCCCCAAAACCCCTGCAGTGTGATTTCCAGAAGGCCAGAGAGTGCCTGCAGCTCCGCCGTCGCACCTTCACTGACTTGAATGACCTTGGGGGAAGGATTGCTCTGCGGAGCCCCTGGTGCCTTATCTGGCGTTGGAGGAGAAGATACTCTCTGGACCTCCCTGCCTTTTGGGGATGTTTTGAGGGGTGGGGTTTGGTCAGGGTATTTCTTTTACAAACGGCTGCTGTTCTGGCCTGAGGAGCTGGACTGGTGTCAGAGCCGGGAGAATTCAGATCACCTAGTAAGATCTGACTACCTCAAATTAGGGAGGGGTTTGGATTTTTAGGAGGACATTTCTTTTTTGGGAATCTGGACGGTATGTTCCAGATTGCCTTCTGTCACTTTGCAACTTTGGTAGTATGCATGTGGATAAATTGAATTACCCCCATAGAAAATTCTTCTCTTGTCAGAAATAATTGTTTTGCTCAGAATTCCCCTGGGGGCAGATTAAGGTTTTGCTCAATTTACTCCTAGAAGAATTTACTTCTAGAAGAATTTTGCAGGTTTCTAAAATTAAATCACTTTTCTAAACATAGTAACTAAAGTTTGAAAAACTGGAAGTAGTGAGCTGGGAAGGGAATGGGTTGGAGGATGAAGAAGGCAGCAAACACTGGTTCTCTGTTGGCCAGTGATTAATAATACGGATTGTTAATTAGCCTTCCTTAATTATGAGGTGTTTTCTTAATCTTAAATAATTTAAGACCAAGAAAAGGAACTAATATTGTTTAGTTGCCTATTCTGTGCCCGGTAATTATGCTAGGTGGTATAGATCTTAGGCAGTCTTCCCAATAATTTTGTGAGGTAGTAGTTAGCATCCCTTTTTTTGTTTTGTTTTGAGATGGAGTCTCGCTCTGTCGCCCAGGCTGGAGTGTAGTGGCCGGATCTCAGCTCACTGCAAGCTCCGCTTCCCGAGTTTACACTGTTCTCCTGCCTCAGCCTCCTGAGTAGCTGGGACTATAGGCTCTCCCCAACCCGCCCGGCTAGTTTTTTGGATTTTTTTAGTAGAGACGGGCTTTCACCGTGTTAGCCAGGATGGTCTTGATCTCCTGACCTCGTGATCCACCCGTCTTGGCCTCCCAAAGTACTGTTTTTTTTTTTTTTTTTGAGACGGAGTGCTGTCACCCAGGCTGTAGTGCAGTGGTGCGATCTCGGCTCACTCCAACCTCTGCCTCTCACGTTCAAGCTATTCTCCTGCCTCAGCCTCCCGAGTAGCTGGGAATACAGGTGCGTGCCACCATGCCCGGTTAACTTTTGTGTTTTTAGTGGAGATGGGGTTTCACCATGTTGACCAGGCTGGTTTTGAACTCCTGACCTCAAGTGATCTGCCCGCTTCGGCCGCCCAAAGTGCTGGGATTACAAGCATGAGCCACTGCTCGCGGTCAGCATCCCTGTTTTATAGATGAACAAGCCAAAGGTCAGAAAGTAAAGTGACTGTCCCAAGTTCACACACACAACTAGTAAGAAATGGCGCTGGAATTCAAACCCAGGTCTGTTTCTCAGGTCTGTGGTTGTCTCTCCACTGTGCACACTGCCTTTGAAATCATGAGACCTAGTTTTTTGGCCTTTGACTCAGCCACTGGGTGACTGTGGGCCCTAGAATAAGTCAATTAGGTCTGTTCTCCAATAATATTGCCTTTTCTTTCAGCAGTGTTGTCAATATGCACTTGAAGTGTGCTTTTTTTTTTCTTTTTTTTTTGGTGAAAAGACAGACATACAAGGCTGTAGTAGTGGTATGTACTATATGCCACTAGGTGCTTGCTTATTTCTTATGATGGAAGCATTTCTGTTAAAATGGAGAGTACCTAAGTGATCATATATTTCATTTATGTAATGGAAGTTGATGGATAGCTAATGGCCCTTCCAGTGTAAAGCAGCCATCATTAAGGTAACATTGTCAGAAACAGAACCATTTTTCATGTAATACAGCGTTCAGGGACAGTATCAACTTATGAGTAAAGCACACTACAGGTAGGACCCAGATAGTCCAGGCTGAAAGATGTGGTATAAACTTTGATGCATATAATAGATGCACAGCAAATATTTGATGAATGAGTGAATGAATGTAATGAATGTATTCCTTTGTTTTTGGAGTGCGGTGGTGTGATGATGTCTCACTGCAACCTCAACTGCCTGGGCTTCAGTGATTTTCCCACCTTAGCCTTCTGAGAAGCTGGGACCACAGGTGCGTGCCACCATGCCTAGCTAACTTTTTTTTTTTTTAATTTATAGAGATGAGGTTTCCCTGTGTTTCCCAGGCTGGTCTCCTGGAACTCCTGGGTTCTGGGGATCCTCCAGTGTCAGCCTCCCAAAGTGTTGGAATTACAGGCATGAGCCAATATGCCCTGCCCTGAGTGCATTTTTTTTTTTTTAAAAAAAAGCTTTATTGAGGTATAATTTACATACCATAAAATTCACCAATTTTAAGTGTACAATTTGACGAGCTTTGACAAATGTATACAGTTGTATAATTACCACCACTGCGTTTATTTTTTTAAACTGTGTGTTGTCTTTTAGGAATTGCGTAGCAGATTTATCCCTGGAAATGTTGAGGTTTCTGTGCTCAGATTCAATACTGTGAGGTCAGAATCAATGTTAGAGTGTTAATGTGCCAACTTGGGAGGAAACAGGAAAACCTTAGGTATTTAATGGTGAGGTAAATGGGAAGAATAAGAGGGAGAGACATTTATTGGATTAGGGGAAAGATAAATAAATTCAGGAGGAAGTAGATTTTAGTTACTTTTAAGACAGAGGATACATTTTGGGAAAAAGTTACCAAAAGATTTAAGGAGTTGAACTTTTTATTTTTTTTCTTTTGAAATGGTAGCTCCTGAAATATAAAACTTAACATCTTTGACTGTGCTTAAGAAGTGCTTAACAAATTATGGTTGTTCAAATAATACTTAAGGGTGGGGATGGTGTAAAGTGGTTGAAGGCCTTGCTCTTCCACCTATGACAGAATATCCTTAGTGTTGATGTCTAACTTGTTTTAAGTAATATTCCACAAAGGGAAGAATACATTAGGTAGCAATTGTGGCTTGTGGGGAAGATTGTTTCTTCCTTTGCATAATTTCTCAAGTCACTGAACTTCTCTCAGCATGCTTTAGCTCAAGTCTCTGTCTCTGTCTTAGAAAATGCCTGGAACCTCTGCTAATGAGCTTCTAGAAGAAGCCCCACTTCTACCTTCTCTTTATTTTTTGATTTTATCTTTATTCATTCTGTTTCTGTATGGTGACTGTTTTATAAACCCCTCTCTCACCCATGAATTTGTCTGAGAATGGAAACTTTTTTTTGCCCTGCCCGAAGCAAAGGAATTCTTGTTACATCCACCATTGGTCCTCCATATGCCATTAGGAAATGATAATTAAAATAACCCTTTAGATCTGCTCAAAGGGGTGACTATAATAATGTTCCCTCCTTGATCAGAGGACATGCTAATCTTTTCTGTATTGTTCCAGTTTTAGTATTTGTACTGCAGAAGTACTACTCTGTTCACCTTTGAGAAAATAATAACTCTATGAGGTGGTTATTATCCTTATTTTGTAAATGAGGGAATTGAGCTCAGAGCAGTTAACTGCCAGAGCAAGTGAGGGGCAGACCATTGATTCAAGCTCAGGTGTGATTGATGCTCAGGTTTGGGATCTGTGTCATTACACTCTTTGTTGTATGGGAGTGGAGGGTCAAGGGAAGAGCTTGAAAATACCATATTAAAATATGAGCCGCAACAT